AAATCTTAGCATCAACAGTACCTCAACAGAAATTATCAGTAATTCTCAGCAGCGACAGTATCTCAACAGTATTTATCAGTATTTATCAGACTCAACAGTAAAAGGCAACAGTAATTATCAGTATTTTTCAGAAACAACTAAAATTATCTGCAACAACAGTAATAATAACAGTAAATATCAGTAATTATCAACAAGAACAGCACCGTATCTGTAATTATCAAACATTATCATAGTCTGGTCCTGATTTTTAAAAAGAAGGCTAGAAATAACTTCTAACGGCAAATAATTATTATTTGATCCAGCATAGTTTTTTAACCTATTTCGCGTATGCTGAATCCAAAAAAATAGGCTAGCCTTCACGAAAATGGCGTTAAAGAGGTCAAAATGGCGATTCAAAATGGCGGACATCCATTTTTTTCAATATTCTCTTAATGTTGTTCAAAATGGAGAAGTAATGAGTGAATATCTAACTAAGTGTAATAAAACTATAAAATTTATAATAGGATGCTAACAATATTAGTTAAACTCAGAAAATTTAGTCGTTTTTATGCTTAATTCGAATTTTCTCTGACTTTTTTTGTCTATTGTTTCTATATTTTTCTTTGCCCAGGATTTTACATTTGCAAATATCCATACACAGCAGATTTGTATTTGCCCCTCTACATCTCACTATTCTACAATTGAATGATAGTGCAGCTGTTAGCTAAAAGTCAAAATGGCGATTCAAAATGGCGGATATTCAAATTATTGAATTCTTAATGTCGGTTACATAGGAGAAAGGATTTTTGAATATTTTACTGAGCGTAGTACAACTATGTAAAATGACAATAGAACACTGATTTGATCACTTTAAATCGGAAAATTTAGTCATTAAATTTGAAATGTGTTAAATAGCTCAAAATGGAAACTCAAATAACGTCTTATACACTCGAATTTCGTAAATTTACTGAGTACCCAAACTGCTTAATTCTGGTTCGTTTTGCAGAAAATAAATTGCAGTTTGAATTGGTTTTCTTATTCATGAAATAATGTTCAAATATGCAATGGAAGTTGGAGGATATTTATGTTAATGACTTAGAATTTTTATAACACGAATTTTAAATTTGTTTAATTACTTCTATTTGATCATAATTCCGAAGACATTTTACCTTTTACCTGTCTCACCATGCATCTTCATATAAAAAGTTAATAATATCATACAATAATTGCTGTTTTGAAGACAATATGAAAATTAAGCTACCCGAAGATCAGTATCCCTCGAGCATTAAGGCGAGTGAACATTCAGTTGTTGGCAATTCTTGATCTATTTTTACTCCAGTGTAGAAAAAAAAATAAATGTTTATGTTTATGTGGAAGGTCTAGTGCAACATAACTGAGTATGATTTTTAAAATAATTGACCACGACCAATTATAGGCCTAGTAATTGTTACCTCATATGAATCTGAATATATTATAATATCCAAATAAAAACATATATATTAAGAATTGTCAGTATAATATACGTAAACCATAAATTTTCTGGATTGTTCAGCTCTGATCTGTGTCCCTACATTTGCATTTTGTTATTCTCATTCCAAAATTCAAATGATTCTCAAATATATCATGCTGTGAAAGGATATTTTTGTATTTAACAGTATATATAAATTTAAAAAAAAAAATTGAAATTAACAAAATCTGAAAGAAGAAAATGTTTGTGTTCAATCCCCCCCCCCCTCGATTCTTGATACAACCTTACATTATCCTAACAAAGAAGTATGGATCAAGTTGCCTTGTAAAGTTCTTCAAGTGTTTTTGTTGTCAAGAGAAGTTTGACTAGATCCAAATCAGGAATGGTTTAGGCCTATTAGTACGAACGCTTGTAAGTGATAGGAATCACGAGAAATCTACAGGCGCTCTTAAATTGCATAACTTTTTTCACCAAAATATGTACACAATGTGATTTCAGATGATCAAGTTTCAGAATTTTCTTGCTAATAGAATGGCCTTCCTACCCAAAAAGACAACAAATGTATACGAGGTCACAAATTAAAGAGCTACATATCTTGAATATCAGAGATTTTTTTTATATCCCCCGCTTGAAAAGCGGGAGGGTATAGAGTAATCGGTATGTCCATCCGTCTGTTACGCTTGGTACCCATCTCTTATCGCAACTCCTCTCATACCACTGAATAAAATCTGATGCAACTTTCACAGAATCTTTATTACATATTGCCATTGTGACCTCCTATTTTACTTTTTGATCCGACACATAATTTGGGTTTCCCATAGCAAAACAGGGACACATTATATTCATATGGGAGACCAGGGTATCATTTGGTTAGCTAATTGCTCACAGTACCTCTAGTTCATTTTGCATAAAATTTTGGATAACAAAATAGACTTTTAGCATTTGAACATAAATGTGTTGTTCCTTGAGTGTTGGTTGATTGATTGTATATTGTTTATCGCCGAGTCGGCAATTTTTCAGCCATGTTTTGGCAGACTATCAGTTTGAATAATAGGTTTTTGAAGGATTTTGGTTTCTCTGGCGGCCCCCAGTTACTCTTTTTTGAACTCCAGAGAAACGATCTTTTACATGCCAAGGTGGTTGTCATCCTTGATACGGGGCACCATTTTACTTGAGTGTTGAAAATATCAAAATTCCGAAGACAGACTGAAACATATACCAAAAAAACCCTGAATAGAAGATGTTAGGGGATAATAATAAGTTCTTATAAGTGCTAAAAAGCAAGAACAAAGTGTTTAGAAAGAAGTTCAAGTTGATAATTACAGGATCGGGATCAGGAGTGATTTAAGGTGGACGGGGCCTCAAAGGCTTTGAAACACGTACGGTCAAATACGAAGGGGGAAATTTGGAAACTCTTAAGTGGTTTTCAAGTATTTTTTGTTCATATTTAATGGACTTATCGATATGATACTATATATATAAAAAAAAAACTGTAATTTATTTTTTGCAAAACGAACCAGAATTAAGAGTTTCAACGAAATTCAAGTGCATCAGATGTCATTTTGAATAGCCATTTTGAGCTATTTAACACATTTCAAATTTGAAAGACCAATTTTCCAATTAAAGTGATCAAATTAGTGTTCTGTTGGTATTTTACATAGTTGTACTACGCTCAGTAATTTAAGATATTCACAAATCCTTTCTCCTATGTAAACGACATTAAGAAATAATTTTAGAAAAAGAGATGAATTTCCGCCATTTTGAATCGCCATTTTGACTTTAACTTACAGCTGTGCCATCATTCAGTTGTAGAATAGTGAGATGCAGAAGAAAAAATACAAATCTGCAGTGTATGGGTATTTTCAAATGTAAAATCCTTAACAAAGCGGAATATAGAACAATAGACCAAAAAATCAGAGAAAATTCGAATTATGTGTAGAAACGACTAAATTTTCTGATTTAAACTGATAATGTTAGCATTATATTCTCATTTAAACACTTATATTACACTCAGTGAGATATTCACACATCATTTCTCCTTTTTGAACGATATTTAAGAGAAAATAAGAAAAATTGGATGTCCGCCATTTTCAATCGCAATTTTGACCTCTTTAACGCCATTTTCATGAAGGCCAGCATATTTTTTCGGATTCAGCATACTCGAAATATGTTAAAAATCTATGCTGTACCAAATAATAATTATTTGCCGTTAGAAGTATTTTTTTCTATAAATCGGACCAGACTATCAGTAAAATTTGGGATTCTCAGCACTTTTTCGTCCAGTAATGGTAAAAATATTGTTTGTGTTCTGTAATTCATAAAATATCCCACCATGTACTGATCATGTCCCGTTTTAATGGTATTATACCACCCGTGTTTTACCTTGTATATAATCTTACTGTACTAAGATCCACTATGACGTCAGCGACTCGTTGGACGCGCAGTGTAGGAAAACAGAAGAGTGGATCAATCTTTTCCGTAATTTGAAAATATTTGCAAGAAAGTTTGAGTGTTTTTAGATATTTTTATACAAGATGGTGATCTCAAACAAACAGTCATTTTTTTTAAAACAAATACTGTGGTTTCAATCTGGTTTTGTACATATTTTTAAGAGATTATGACGTAATTAAACTGAGTCACGTCACCATACATCCTTCGTCCCATTAAGATATTGCTGTACAAATGTCGACACTGCAATTGTTCAGTTACTATTCGTACTGTTCTAAATTGAAACAGGCTAAAAATGTACAGTCCAGTGTAAGTTTTGTAAAATTTGTATCGATTGAAGAAGAGGATAGGATTTGTGCAGCAATTTTATTAATATTAAGAATAATCTCCTAAATATTATACTTCATTTATTTAAATTAAATAAGATATGCCCTTGCGCCGACGTTGGTTTCTTGATGTGTTTTATAACCTTGAATGGGAAAGGACTATGACGTCATAATGTGCACTTACAATAACATACTTTGGGTACTAATTATGTATAAGAAAATTAATTTGATCTTTCTCTGTACATAAAATAGACACTTTATGCATTTTTATTAGCTCATTTGCATTGAAAAACCCAAATTTAGACTTAACTCACTTGCGTGATAAAGCTCATAAATTATATAGAATAATTTAATGCTATGAAATAAAGAAATTCAAATATATGAACACAAACCATTCCAGATAACATATCTCAATAAATTGATCATTAACCCCATATAATATTAATACCATGAGAATTAGGGCAACAAAAGTAACCTGAGACTATAAATAATTCAGAGTTCTTATCATTAACATTTTTTTTAATATTCGATGAAAAATGGGGAAAAAATATAAATACGACAGAGGAAATTCGGACTGTAATAATCATTAAGTTTATGTCCCAAACTCTAATCGTTCCTTTATATGAATCAACACTATTTCGTTAATTATATGTACGCCATATGCGGATCCAGAACAAAATACCCCTGCTTCCATTTTTGATTAGTATATTAATATGGTACTGTTTTAGTAAACTTTCGTATTATTAGCAAATTATATCAGAATAGTTGTTATTTTATAGAGTGTGATTCCAATCATTACGGACTTGATTGCTCCATGGAATGCAGTGTTAACTGTGAAAGACAGACGTGTGACAGTATTACTGGATCCTGTACATATGGATGTAAAAGGGGATTTTACTTAGAAAAGTGTAATCAGAATTGCAATGAATCATGTCCCTCAGCCTGCAACAGATACTCTGGGTATTGTGAAGGCAAATGCCCACCTGGAAAATATGGAAATGCTTGTAATAAAATATGCAACCCGAATTGTAAAAATGAATGCGGTAGAAACAACGGTTTGTGCGACTCTGGTTGCATTTTTGGGAAATTTGGCGCTGACTGTCTCAGATCTTGTGGAGCAGGTTGCGTATCCAGTTGTCGTCAAAATGATGGAAGTTGCCAATGTAAATCAGGATGGAAGGGTCCAAACTGTGATGGTAAACAGGACTATTATACTAGAAATATTTTAATTAAATATTTGCTTCAGAGGAAACAAAATTAATAAAAGGTTATCTTCATATCGTTTATTGATCATAGAAAGTTTTAATATTTCTGATTAAAACGACTCTGTATTTTTAAAGGATGCGATTTAAAGCATTATGAACAAGATTGTTCCAAAAAATGTAGTGCAAATTGTGAAAGGGAGAACTGTGACAATATTACTGGATCCTGCACCCATGGATGTGAAAGAGGATTTTATCTAGAAAAGTGTGAGAAAAGATGCAGTACATCATGTCCGTCAGCCTGCAACAGATACTCTGGGGAATGTGAAGGTGAATGCTCCGTTGGCAAGTATGGAGAATTTTGTAATAAAACTTGTAGCCAAACATGTAACCATAGATGCCGTAAAATCGATGGTTTGTGCACTTATGGTTGCATTGACGGTAAATTCGGCGCCGCCTGTCTTCAGACCTGCGGTGATGGGTGTATTTCCGGTTGTCATCAAACCAATGGGAATTGTTCCTGTAAAACAGGATGGCAGGGCCAAAATTGTGATGGTAAAGTCAAACAAACTTATGTTGCAATTGACGTCAACTTTCTTATATCTACTTGCTAAAAAGGATAATAAGTTTCATCAGAAATATTACTTTATTAACACAAGTAAACTATAGAAATCGTATCAAAATTATAATACTTTAGTGATAAAAATATCTTTATTCACAAAAGGCTTCCTCAAGAATAATTTTAGGTTGGTTTTAACTTTGTCTGCTTTTTTCCAAGCGTGACCTCATTTACATTTTCTTTTCTTTTTTTAAAGAATGTAGTCCAAACTTTTACGGCAACAAGTGTGATCGGAAATGTAGCTCCAACTGTCTAAACGAAACCTGTTTCTCAAAAAATGGGTTTTGTATAGGGGGATGCAAAGGCGACTTTACGGATGAACAATGTACAATACGTAAGTTAAACTTTTTTCTGTATGAATTTAGTAAGTACAAATACAATAGATAAAACAAAATTAAAATGAACGATTTCTTAAATCAAATAAACCAAACTCTTTTATGTATCAAATGAAGTACAAAGAATAAGAAGGGAAACTTTATTTATAATTTTGAATATTATTTTGTACATACAAATAATGCATACATAAAACTAGGTACTTCTTACTCTTTCATAATGACAGGTTCTCAATCACGCGCGAACTTTTCTAATAACTCTTATATTAATGTATTTATTTATATTACATGACGAATACGATTTTAAAGAAAACCAATTTCCGTAAATAAACATATCTATTGAACATATGTATACATCTGAAAAAAAAGTTCATTGTGTTATAAATAAATGTTTGTTCCTGTAATATTCGGGTTAAAACTTTTTTTAGCACGCTATCTAGTCAATCAAATTGTTGCTTCCTCTGGCTTTAAACGAACAACCCAGACGTTATCTGGACATTTTAATTTTTTTTTCAGCGATCGGCTGTGTGAATTTCGAACCTGACTTCATTTATATGCAGGATGACTGCACGGGAGAGAATATTACGGAAGCCCGTTGGTGCCACGTACGAAAAATATATCTGGCAGCCGCCAGATAATTATATGTGGCGGTCGCCACTTATTATTTGGCGGCCGCCACTTATATATCTGGCGGCCGCTATATAACATCTGTTGGCCTCCAAATATTTATCCGGCGGCCGCCACATAATTTATATGGCGGCCGCCAGATAACACTTGGCTTCCTGATGCGCGCGCATGTTTAAATAACGTGTGATTTCAGAGGTGGATACAGTTTAAAAATTATAATAGCGACATCAATCAACCAAACTTGTAAGAGATTTATTATGAACCAACACTCCAATCCACACTTCTAGTAGATCTATTTTTGCATAGAGCAGATTGATATTTGATTTGAATTATGCAAGTATTTGTAGAGTGTTTCGGTTATTAGGAAGCCTCATCAGGGGTCACGGACATAAATCAATGTGTTAGTTTTAGGTGAGACCGGGTTATCTCGTCACCTATATTCTTGTGTTTGCTGTAAGCTATGATTAAGAATTGAGAATTGAGAATTAAATAAAGTTTTGCTATTGGATTTCTAAGAATGGTGTTCAAATATTTCAGAATTCGTTTTTTATCTTTAACTTTTTTATCAATAAGCAGCGGTTGTGTCAACATCCATCTTCTTAACCCAATAACACTCACCTTTTGCAGAATAATTTATGTGACGGCCGCCAGATATATAAGTAGCGGTCGCCAAATAATAAGTGGCGGCCGCTGGTTATATAAATGGCGGCCGCCAAATAATAAGTGGCGATCACCACATAATTATCTGGCGGCTGCCAGATCTATAGGTGGCGGCCGCAAAATAATAAGTGGCGGCCGCCAGATAAAATATTTTTCTTACGTGACACCAACGGGCTTCCGTAGAATATAACTGTAGTTCGGATGGCAATTAATACACGTACGTCCCCCGTGTATTTTAATATATCCGACTTAATTCAGCGGTATATTGGATAAAATATCACATTTGTGACATAACGAGAAAACTAAATAAAAAAGGGTTACAGTGTATATATTACTTGAAAAAACAAAGAGGTAATTTAAAATGGATTGAGATGTTATAGTAATCTATGCTTATTTTTCTTTCTTGTAAATGAATGTAATATACAGAGAACACTTATCTCTTTCTTTTTCAGCCCTCGTTGAAGGTGACTCGACATCATTACCATTTACAGCTATTGGTGCTGGACTGGGCGCTGGATTATTTCTGTTGGTTATAATAATCATTGTGGTCATTTTTCTCAGGTGCTTTTGAAAAAAATACGAATAAGTGTGTTAAGTGCAATTGAATCTTGTGGTTCAACTGGTCTTGTAATGTAATGATTTATTTGTTTCGGATTTTTACTGATTTTATTATTCTTCATCCAATTGCGAGTTGAAATGTTGTTTTTTTTTTTCTCGGTGACACAGACGACGAAAGAATTCTTATTCCAAACCAGATACAGTTCTGTTTCGAAAGGAAGGAACCCCATCTTTAGGTTATTATCCCCCCCCCCCCCCGCACACAGTTTAAAGCAAGATTGCTCTGATTATTACTACTATTTAGTAGATTTCAAAATTAACTTATAGCATTATCAACTTGCTGCATTTTAATTATAGCTCATTTATTTCACGGTTTTATGATTGCGATTCAGTTTATTTCTTACCTCAGAAAACAGGTTATGCATGAACATCGGAGACGTTCCCATTACAATCGAGGATCCAGAAGAAGAACCTCAGATAGAAAACCCCGAGGAAGCTGTATATTATAATGAACTGTCTGTGGCTAAGGATATCTCAGTGTCGGATCTACTGAAGATAATTACTGAGCGAGAAGCCAAGGAAAACGAGGGATTCCTCAAAGAGTTCAAGGTTATTCGCAAATTCAGCTAAGTCAAATTGCAAATGTTTTAATTCAATTAAAAAAAGCACAAAAAGTTATAGAAAAGAATGATTTAATTGCTTTACTAGTATTTACAGAAGTGAAATACCGTAGTTTATTCAATCTTACTCTTTAAATTTCATTTAAATAATACACGCTTTTTTATGCGGTAGGTTTTTAAATAAGTTTATTTCTGAATGGAAAGAACTGAGTATCGCATTTTTGTCCTTTTTTATTCTTCTTTAATCTTAATCACTGCTGTTAAATTTATTCCTAGTAATTTCTTAACAATGATATTTCCATATCAATGATAAAGATTAAATATTTATTTAAATGAAAATATTGAATTATCAATCTTACTATAAAATAATTAGGTTTACTTTACATATTATATGTATATGTTTTATCAAAGAAGAGCATGTTTTGGTTATTTATTCACATTTTCGACTTAATTGATGAACGAAACACTTTGAAATTCCATTTGAAATTGTTTTGCTGATTGGATTTCTTAGTTATTAATGTTTAGTCATTATCTTGACCTTATTAAAGTAATCTCATACGGTCAGTTTTTGAAATAAAATTGTATTCATATCATCCTTTTTTGATAAGCAAAAAATGTTTATTTTTAGATGCTGCCATACGGAGAAAGGTTTGACTGTGAAATCGCTAAAGCGGAGAAAAACATGCCTAAAAACAGATTCAAAACCACATTTCCATGTAAGATTGTGCTTTTAGTGTTCAGAGTATTGTTTGACTGTATGTTGTGTTACGTACCATGCGAGATTTTTTTTCACTCGTATAGAGACGCCACCACATACCTGTTCAAGTCTTAAAATTTCGGCTTTTACTCGGCACTCAGGTCCATTTAAATGTGAAGGATATTTATCGTGCCAACGCCTGCAATGACAGGGAACCTCGGTTTTTAAGGTCTCATCCAAAGGACCAGCAACTTACACTTCAATGTGTCGTGTGCATGGCGAAGAAACAGTTCCTCTACCCATTTTTATTGACTTACGTCAGTCGCGGCTGAAGTTCGAACTCACGATCTCCCGATCACAAAGCGAGCGCTCTACCGTCTGAGTTTGTTTAGAGTAAATTGTATTAATTTATCAATTTATCATAGAATTTAAGAGCAATTTAAATTAATTGAAAACTTTAACATATGATACTGAAAATAATCTTCCAATATTTCTCGGTGTAATGTTCCTATACTGTAAATTCCATGTTTCATTCTATACAAAATATCGCGAAATTGCTTTTAGACGGCATCTCGCGAAAAAAATAATTCGCGAGAGGGCAGCTTCTCAAGCAATATTACATGTATATTAGCACCATAAAAGTTGCGCTTCTCGCAAATTACGCAATAATTAATTCCTAGCATATATTTATCACCGAGCAAAATTAACATTTTTGAATTAAAATAACTTTTTGATATTTTATACTAAATTTGGACGTTTATCTGGGAAATTCTTCATCTGTGTTTTTAATATGTGCTTATTTGTAGTAAATTGTGTCTTATTTATCTCATTCCCTTTGAAATAGGATTAAGACATTCCAATTGACACTCTGTGACTCTGTCAAAATAACTGTTGCTCGTTACGTGTTAATGCCTCGGGATTTATAAATCCTTCACCAATAACTTTATTTGTATAATTACTTTATGACCTCTTTCATGTTCATTCTATCAAAGAAACACACCTGTCCATCAATTAACTCAACTAGTGTCAAAAGTCAATTATTGTTTACTCTTAGTCTTACAAATATCTATGTCCATTCTAATCTCTTCAGTTTGGAGGCCCGACGCTCTACCGGCCACATCCAACTCGATTAAGTCTCTAAGATTTTGTTAAATTCATGTTTGTTATTCACCATCGTCTAAAATAAATTCGGAAACCTGATTAACCAATTCTTGGACTTTATATATCGGAAGCCCATAAGGAATACGGCACCTTTACCCCTTACGTTTTATTACGGCCCCACAGCGCCACTACCTTGTTATACCCGCCAACATTCCTTCTTCCCCGTTTACCCTCTAAAACGGATATATTCCAGGAATCGGTATTCATATCTTATAGCCAAAATCTAACTGGTTATATATTTAAGAAATCCACAGTAATAGAGAAAACTTATCTAGAAATTCAGGTTCGTAGAATTTCAAGTCTTTTAGAGTCCATTTATAGTATATTTAAGGATCATCATCAATTTGTCTCTTGTTCAATCTATACACAATTCCCTTTTTACAGAGTTTAGACTGTTTGTCACACGGAGGCGTAGTCGTCGGCCACTATGACGGTGCTGACAGTGTGACAAGAGTTACAGTATGCCCTACGAATAAAGAGGTGGCAAACACATTGTTGTCTTTGTTTTCGAAAGTCGAACGCTCTAATATACGACAAGAAAAGGATGTTAGTAGTTAATTAACCTATTGATAAAATCAACATGTTCTTTAATTTATTCACTTTATTATCTAGTTCGCCTTTGGATATACGCCCGCAGTGCCATTTATCCAAAACATTTTTATTGGTCGTTTTGTATTTTCAAAAAAAGTATGCACCATGTACTGTTAAAATAAAAAAAAAAAGATAAACAACTAATAATTTTAAGAAAATAAATGTCTTTTGTGTTTAACATTAAAAAAAAATGATGCTAAGAAAATGTAGACGACCGTCGTGTTAATTATCTATTTTTACTTTATGCATTATTTTATACCCTTTGTAATGTAATACGACATGTAAAAAAAATTACGAATTACTTTCCATTGGTCATTATCTGATTTTAATTACAATTCACATTGTCCTCTGATATCATGTTTAAGAAGAACACACTTGCTGATCTCCGCCTATTTCAAAACATGACTTACATGTAGGCCTACAAGACATTTATAATAGGAAAATATTTAAACTTTATACCTTTTAGAGTGTGTTGCAATAATAAAAACAAGTTTAATAAAGACAAAGAGTAAACTAAAACATAAAAAAATCAATATCACCATATAAAATGATCACGCAGATTGATATATAACGTAAATACTTTAAAAACAGGAAGCGTCAAATATTTGTGCATTCAACTGAATTGTTCCATGCTTTTCAAAATGAATTCTTGTTATGTAAAAAAAAACAACATCTAGATCTATTTTTTTTTCCAAAAAAAAAAAAAGAGTAATTGATTAAAGAAACATAAATGTTTTTATATCACACACGTGAACATGTATAAGTAATTTAAAATTTCCATCACGATTCGCGCAAAGTCATGGGTACAGAGGTCCTACCTGTAACCTGCAGAAAGAAAGAATCGAGAAAAAACGGAGAAATATAAAGTAATCAGTTCAATAGTTCTGGATTTATCTTGATACGAAGTACGTTCGAAGCAACTTGAAATAGAAAAGGGAAGAAGGAGACGAGGGTGGTTATTAAAAAAAACAGTTTTTTTTCTTGATGTCAACTTGTATTTATATTGAAACAATGCACATGCAATCCTGAACTTTGAAGACACAATGTAAACAATTCAAACGCATTGTCAGCAGCAAGAGTAGTTAATTTTGGTGAAAAAAAGTACTTGTACAAGGGGAAAGCTGTATGCTTCGTTTATAAATGGAAGGTTTAATACCCCACTCGACCCTCTGCTAAACATACTAGTTGTTTGTTTGCCAATACCCAAAGAGGGCCAGTGTATAATTCAGCACGTATCTAATATGAGTAAACTTGAGGAAAACATCACAAAAATCTATAAAGCGTGACATTGGCAACGTCCAATACGTACAATACTGGTTTGTCTAAATCTACAAAAGTTACTTTTCCAAACGGCTTTACAAGTCACCTGTTAATTTTCTTCTCACCTCTCTCTCGCACACTCTTTCGTGTAGTAGATATCACATTCTTAGTGAAATGTCAGTTTTTTTTTAATCTTGAAAAGATTTATTTCAAAGAAAACCCCGTGATATTTGTAAAAAAAAATCATAAAGTATACGAACAAAAAATTGCCAAAAAAAAAAAAAAAAAAAAAAAAGAAAAAAGAAAACAGGCCAAAAAGCAAAGACTGAATTAAATATTTTCAAAGTATTTGTATTAGAATTACGCAAAAAAAACCTTCATGTCGTAAGGTCATGTGAGAAAAACATGGCGGCGCTTATAAATAAGGTCAGAGCATTGTGTATAAAGCTCTTTATATTTTTTTTCTTGTAGATGACCATTCACGCGTTGTTTTAGATACTAGCCAGGGCTTCACCTCCGATTACATTAATGCGAACTATATTGAGGTAATAAACAGAACTGAAATTAACATATCGTTTAGATAATACATATGTTCTTGATGTCATCTAATATACTCATGATAATCTTCTACAAGCATTTTTCATGTTTAGAATATGGAAGGGGAACGGGACTTCATTGCATGTCAAGGTATGATGATTTAGATTAAACTTTCTGATGGTAGATAATTTGAGAAAGCTTAATACTACATTTTAGTAATAAAACTTAACAGTTTCCCCTTTTTATAGGACCTCTTAAAAACACTTTAGTTGACCACTGGAGAATGATTTGGCAGGAGAATGTAGAATACATTGTCATGTTGACCAACCTTATTGAGGGACCAAAGGTTTGATAAAGAATAAGTTAATATGGTTCGCCTTATATATTCTTAATGATAAATGGTATGGATCGTCTTGTACAAGTATATTTTTAATAAAACTTTAGACATTTTGTATATGTGCATGAATAAATTTTTACGAGGGCTGTCCCGTAAAATCGTGGACAAAGCGCTTTTCTCGAAAAGTAATGGGCGCACTAAGCTTAAATTTTAAGTAAATGTTTATTCATCATGTTTAAGTGTATCATATTGTTTTTGATGATATATATGCAAAAATGAAAATTTTATTCTGCTTGAATGTGCACAAAGTACGATCCTACGGCGCACGGTAAAAATACCAAGGTTATATTAGAGAATATACAAGTATTAATTCGTAATAAAAGTTTTCAATACGCAAGATTAGGATGAAAATTGTTCTAATTAGATTCCTTAATCAATTCTGTCGTCCTTTTGAAAATTTCAAGGTACTTGGTTAATATTTGGCAGTTTCCCAGGCATTCGAAATGGGAAAGTGGTAAACACAATACACGAAAAATGGCGACGTTTCATGACATTACGGCGCACCAGAGAACAGTTCAGTTAGATTAGGATGTTGTAATGACACCTTAAGAGACTTTAAATGAATACAGAAGAAGAAAATATGAAAAATATCACCATATCTTTAGAATATAAATGAAATGGAAGTTTTCTTAGCGAAGTTCTCTTGATCGAGTCCCCAGGTAGTACAAAACATACGGATCGACAGACTGCCATTGTAGTAGCAAAAGACGCTGTCACTGTCGACCTTCGATATGAGATTCTCTGTTAGTTGAATGAAGGTGAGAATACTGTCCGTAACTTGCTAATAAATCTTCAGAAAATCGCATGAGTGTGCCACATTGGTTCCTTAACTGGTTATAAACACTCACGTAGGTAAATCAGTACAATTCTAAATTTACGTGGGGCTTATCCAACTTTATTTTTAGCAAACATGAAACGTGACGCTGTTTTAGACTCCTTGACGTTATAATCCGTGTGCCGTAGGGCGTTACAGTACATAACATAAAATATCTCAATTTTTTTATTTATGCATATATCTATTTGAAATTTGCTATATATATTCATATTATATGTACTAAAGAGTAGTGAAAATTTCAGAACGCAGTGATGATTATTTTTCAAACTAGACAACTTGTCCACGATTTTACGGGACAACCCTCGTACAAGGAAATATATCAGAGAATCTATCATTTTTGAAAAGAAATAATGTTGGCTTTGACAACATGATGAAGAAAGTGCACTACTGGTTCTTAGTGCTGAGGCCTTATAGGATTTTTAATTCATTTGAATCCTATATAATTTCAAATTAATTTTGCTGAATCATTCACCATAAACACCTTAATGAATACATATAATTTCTAAAATGTCAATATCAATTTTTAATAATTTGATAAGCTTTTAAGCGAAAAATATATTTATTTCTCTTTAAGATAATGATTGATATTCAGTTATAATTATATAATTTAGGTGAAATGTCATCAATACTGGCCAGACAAAGGACAAGAGCTGGATGTCAATCCCTTTGCAGTAACCTTGGTGGAAGAGAAGCAGTACGCTTATTTCGTCGAAAGAAGAATGACACTGCGTAACAAGAAAGTCTGTGTGATAATTTAATTTCTTAGGGGTGATGTTGTTTAATTGTTGTTTTACGTCCCTCTCAAGAGTTTTTCAGTCAAAAAAAAGAGACGCCATACTCGGTGATGAAGGGTTGTAAATTTATACCTTTAAACAGTATTCATGTCTATTGTGTATATTGAGGGACCTTCTTTGTGTTTAAAAATACGCCAAAGTACGGGACGTCGGTTTAAACGATCTTATCCAAAAGCCATTCTATACGTCCCGCAGTTAATTCGAACCAGGAACCTGCGCCGTAAAGAACAGCTCCTTATTCCTGGATTCTAGAGCAGAACCTCTAACAAATTCTCCAAGCAGATGACTGGTGGGGATGGGGGGTTAATTTTAGTTGATTTCATGGTATTAAAAGAGTCATGAATTCATGTTCTTCTCCAAATTTGAAAGCTCATACAATTATCAAGTCAAACGCTACTTCAACTTCCAAATAAAAAAATCCTAATGATCCAAAAATTATTTTTTCTCAAACTATGAAAATTTGACCCCATGAAAATATGCATTTAACAGCACATCGAAATTATGCTGAAATTTATCTATAACTAGGTCGCAGGGTCAAGGACGATCGTCCAGTATCACTACACAAGATGGCCAGATCACGGAACTCCCAATCCTCTGAACTTGATCGTCTTCCACCGTCACTTTAGACACAAATCCAGATCTACCCAACACCCGATTATTGTTCACTGCAGGTACATGTAATCACAACATTTAATGTATTGTTTTGGAAAGGATCTCAATGTTTTCACCAATTGATCATTTCCTTAATGAAAGATTCACAAAGAGATGAATACCGTATTGAAAAAAAAAAAACACAATAAAGATACAGGTAGAGAATATCTATTACCAAGTATGAATTGCCATGTTTAATGCTATAAGAATGAACAATATGTGTTTTAAAACAGAATCAAGATAATCAAGAAATCGAGGACCTCAGTGTTTTGGACTGCAAATTAGAACCCAAATATTGGCTTTTTACCTTTGTCAAAATCAAAATGATTTCTTTCCAAATTCAACCTGACTTACTTGATATAATTTTCCCAACTTTCCAAGCATTTACATGTAAAATGATTGGGTTTTGTTTGTATTTTTTGATAATTATTACAAATAATATAAATCCTCTTTTTTATAAAAATATTGAAATAATTTTTTTTTAAGGCCTAAGGCTCTTATCTTTTAATGCTTTCCAAAAGCATAATTAATGCAGTATTTGCATATTTGTAATTTATTCTAGTGCTGGAATTGGAAGAACAGGGACATTTATTGCCCTTGACGTTCTGTGTAGATATGGCAAGGACAAGGGCAAGGTCAATGTCATAGAGTATGTCAAGGCCATGCGTAGAGACAGGATGACAATGATACAGAATGTGGTATGTTACATACACTGCAATTTATGAGTTTTTAGCTCACCTGAGCCGAAGGTTCAAGTGGGCTTTTCTGATCACATTTTGTCCGTCGTCCGTCTGTCTGTAAACTTTCCACATATTCGACTTCTTCTCAAGAACCAATGGGCCAAATTTAACCAAACTTGATACCATGTATCCTTGGGTAAAGGGAAGTTTAAACTGTTAAAATGAAGGGCCAATTCCCCTTACAATGGGATATAATGAAGAAAAGACAAAAATAGGGTGGGGTCACTAAAAATCTTCTTCTCAAGAATAACTGGGCCAGGAAAGCTGAAACTTATGTGGGAGCATCCTTGGGTAGTGTAGTTATTAAATTGCTAAAATCATGACTCCCGGGGTAGGGCGGGGCCACAATAGGGAATCCAAGTTTTGCATAGAAATATTTAGAACAAATCTTTAAAAATCTTCTTCTCAAGAACCACTGGGCCAGGAAAGCTGAAACTTATGTTCGGAGCAACCTTTGGTAGTATAGATATTAAATTGTTAAAATCATGACTCTTGGGGGGTAGGACGGGGCTACAATAGGGAATCCAAGTTTTACATAGAAATATATAGAACAAATCTTTAAAAATCTTCTTCTCAAGAACCACTGGGCCAGGAAAGCCGAAACATATGTGGGAGCATCCTTTGGTAGTGTAGATATTTTAAAAATTCTTAAAATCATGATCCCCGGGAGTAGGGCGGGGACACAATAAAGAATCCAAGTTTTACATAGAAATATATAGATCAAATCTTTAAAAATCTTCTTCTCAAGAACCACTAAGCCAGGAAAGCTGAAACTTTTGTTGGAGCATCCTTGGGTAGTGTAGTTATTAAATTGCTAAAATCATGACTCCCGGGGTAGGGCGGGGCCACAATAGGGAATCCAAGTTTTGCATAGAAATATATAGAACAAATCTTTAAAAATCTTCTTCTCAAGAACCACTGGGCCAGGAAAGCTGAAACTTATGTTCGGAGGAACCTTTGGTAGTATAGATATTAAATTGTTAAAATCATGACTCTTGGGGGGTAGGACGGGGCCACAATAGGGAATCCAAGTTTTACATAGAAATATATAGAACAAATCTTTAAATATAAACTGATCAATAACCACTGGGCCAGGAAAGCCGAAACATATGTGGGAGCATCCTTTGGTAGTGTAGATATTAAATTCTTAAAATCATGACCCCCGGGAGTAGGGCGGGGACACAAAAAAGAATCCAAGTTTTACATAGAAATATATAGATCAAATCTTTAAAAATCTTCTTCTCAAGAACCACTAAGCCAGGAAAGCTGAAACTTTTGTTGGAGCATCCTTGGGTAGTATAGATATTAAATTGCTAAATTATGACCCCCGGGGTAGGGCGGGGCCACAATAGGGAATCCAAGTTTTACATAGAAATATTTAGAACAAATCTTTAAAAATCTTCTTCTCAAGAACCATTGGGCCAGGAAAGCTAAAACTTATGTGGAAGCATCCTCTGGTAGTGTAAATTCTAACGTTTTAAAATAAAAAAAAAGGGAAGGGGTTGTTTGACATGATAAGTATAGCAAGAGGGTGAATCTTGTAAATATTTGCATCACCCAAGTTTCTCAGGTGAGCGATATGGCCCATGAGCCTCTTGTTTCTGTTTACTGCGACTTTTAATTGACACACAATATATCTGCGACTTTTAATTGACACACAATATATCTTCACCATTCAGTTAACTGAAAGATGACTGAAAGTCTACAGAAATGTCTACTAGAGTGATTGTGTTAATTAGACTTCTCAGTGACCAATCAGTTAACCAAGTAGTGTGCAATCATCCCTTGAAAGGAAAAAAAAGTTATTCCGAGAAAGAATCCTATTCATTTTAAAAGACATGATCATAAAATGTAACACTTCTGTTAACTGAAAAAGCTATTATACATTTTAAAAACAAATTTATTTTAGGACCAGTATGTGTTTCTGTACCATGCCCTGTACGAGTTCTTCAGAAGGAAAGTACATTATATAAAGAGAGACGAATTCCTCAGTCAATATGGTGATATGAACAAAATGCTTACAAACGAATTCAACGTAAGCAGCAATATTGTACATAACATTTATATATGTTTTGTTTGTGGCCAGTTTATATAATTACTAGTATGTAAAGTTTTGAAAGAAAATTGACCATGTATTCCGTCCATTGTAAAAATTAATAAAAAATACACTCATCAAATGATAATTTTTATAAAATACAAATGAAATTGTTTGTACAATACTGAAACAAAACGAATTTGAAAACTAAACTTTTTTTCCAGGAACTGGTAAGCTTAAAACCAAAATATGATGCCAGCGAGTTCAAGAGTGGAAAGAAGTTTTCGGAACTGAACTTTACCAAATCAGTTTTACCAGGTACTTGAAATTACCTCTTGACTTCTACATATTTAAAGAACTATATGAGGTATATGGATATATTTGCTCCCACAAAAGTAAATTTTGAAAACTTTCTGAAATGTGCTGAATTCAATAAATTGTATGAGAAATATAAATTAAGAGAAAATATTATAGTGTCAAAGCAGTGTATTCACAAATTTTGTTTTTAAGACGTCACAAACTTGTCCGATTTTTTTTTATCCTTTTTCAAAAAGAGGACAAAATGGACAAAATTTCAACAAGTTTAGCTTTAAAATTTACAGAGCGCAAGTTTGTTCAGGAACAATATTGACATATTTCATTGATATTATCATTCTACACATTATATCAAAATATTGACCCTGAAAACATGTGTACTCGGTGACTTTTACTCAAAATATCGACGACATATGTACATTTTTCTGTAAAATTCATACAAAACTGAAATTTACGTCATGTTTGTGACGTCATTACGTACATATGGCGTCATTACTTATGAAAATATTCAGTGCTTTGAAGTCAGCATATACTCCCCTTTTTAAGAACTTAATTAAATATATCTCCATCAAAGTTTGATTTGGGGGGCAAATATTGGTTATTACCGAGTAAACTTTTTAAAACATTTTTTTGGGGGGAGGATGAGGGTGTGGTTGAAATTAATAGTATTTTTGTGCAAAAATATTATGCAATGTATTACAAAGACACTGCGTTTTCATTGCATTTTGTTTTTTAATCAAAGTAAACAAATTTTGTCACTCACGTTCTCATAACAATTTTCAATCAATTTCAGTTGAGCAACATCTAGTCTATTTGACGTCCCATGTTCAAGGCCGACAGTGTTATTATAATGCAGTGAATGTTTGTGTATGTATAAAAATTGTTTGAATCTTAAATATTTGTCATCAAAATGATACAATTCTATGAGTTACATATTTATCATGTGATAAAATACTCGATTTTTGCACAACTTTTAAGTGTTGTAGTAGAAGTAACCATTTCCAATACATGTATATAGTCTGAAATTCTTCACGTACAGTCGTTCACCCGAGCTGATGAATTTTTATCTGCTCAATTTCCTGTTTCTGGAGCAGCCATAGATCTTGTTCGTCTTCTAACTGATCAGGAATCAGCATTTCTTATTTCATTGAACCCTTTGTCAGAGCTTAAAGAGGTAATGACAACACAATCTAATGATCATCATTGGATTTTCTTTGAAAGTAGACAGTTATTTGCATTTTCATTTGCTGTTATTTCTTCTTTATTGTTATAGATAAATCTGCATACAATCTAAATATAGTATTTATATTCTAAACTTTGTATTTTCTCAAGCTACAAAGCTGGGTTGATGGAAAAGACAATCCACTAAAACTGAATCCTTATGTTGTCACTAAGGGTTCACAAGAAGTATTTTCCGGGAAGATAAGAAAGACAAATCTTAAAATATCGACAAAGGAAGTCAGTTTTGTTTATTTATTTATTTATTTATTCACTTTTTGTAAATGAAAACACAATTTTAGTTATTATGATTAATATTTTAAAATCTTTTTCATTAAAGTTTCAAAAAGATATTAAAAAAAATACCTGCAAAGGCAAAGTGCATTTCATATATTTTTGTTAAATTCTTTATAATGAATTTAAATTAAGTAAGTTTCATTGTATATTGTATTGTTTGTATATGGTATATTATAACTGTCTAATCCAAAACCTGTGTAATCCGTCACACTGTGAATTCCGACTTAAAATTTCATTTCCAATTTACAGTTATCCCTAAAATTGTACAAAGCCTAATCTGACACCTTGTCAATTCTGACATAAACTTCATCCTCCAGTTCATGTCGGATTAGACAAAATTCACAGTATAATAAAGAAGTATGTTATTCTTAAATTTGCATCTTGTTTTCATACTGGGAAAAGGAAACCCATCATGTTGAGATATTTGAATGCCTGAATTGGAGTTCTAAGGATACGCTTCCAACCGATACTTCTGTTTTGACAACCCTCATAAAGCAGTTCAGTCTGGATCGCAAAGCTAACATTAATGGACCTGTAACGGTCATATCCAAGTATGCACTCAATTTTATTTTTCAAGCTACATCTTTTCCTTTTGTTTGAATAGTAATATTGTACTTTGAATAAGGGGGAGAGATGTGTTTTTCAAGGAATAAATTTTATTTTCAGAACTTAATCAGTAGTACAAGTACTTGTATAGATACTGTCAAATATTTTTTTTTTCAAATAAACAGTACTTAATATGTAACTATTTCAATTTGCAAAAAGATAGTGTACTGATATAAGAAAAGTGACTTATACATGCATATTCACTTCAATAGATTAACTTGTCATTTTACTTCAGTCTCTAAATATTACGCTAATATTAAGATAAGGGTTAGAGTCAGTTTGGTGGGTGAAACAGTTTTAATTTGCATTTTGATTACGTTGTTTCATATGAAGTATAAAGAATACTTTAAAACGCAATACATGTAATCGGAATGTATGGAGCTTTTTTTTTCCACAATCCCTATAATTGATAGAAAACCACTATTCCAACAGTTTTCTTTAAAAACTTTAACAACATATTTAAAGAAATATTCTTAAACATGGTCTATATTTTCTCTAAAAAGGGACGGTGCTACCTGTTGTGGAGTGTTTATTGCAGTGTATAACGCCATAGAACAACTACAACAAGACGACGAGGTGGACATATTTACTATAGTACAGCAGATACAGTGTAGAAGACCGGAAATGATATCAACAAAGGTATATTTTAATGTATTTTTTACGATAATAACTTGTATGCAAAAATTTAATATGACTTTAGATTTATAACTTATATTAAGTCTTGAAGTATTTTGAGAGTTTTATTCTTCTTTTATTGTTTATATAAAACACATCGTGTAAACATGTCTTCTAACACAGTCATAAAAAATATATACTGCAATATACCGTAAATCTTGAGCTTTTTACATTAAAAATAACCTTATTAAATACAAATATGCTCGTTATATGTATTGATCAGTTAAAAAGAATATACAATAACAAAATCATGTTCCTGTTTTACTGCTAAAATTACGTTGATTAATATTGTAGCGAAGGTCAATGGAAAGCCCCGCAAATTAGCTATAAAAACCGACAGCAAAAATTTCCAGATTTACGTGTTTATACTGCAAAAGACGACACATCGATAAAAAATTTCCATTCTAAAAAACATGCATTTGAATGTTGATTTGATACTGTTTCTGATCTGATAATTTTTTGATGACGTGTCTGATTTTTGAATACTAAGAGTGTGTATGCCAACTTTGACAGTTTACGATAATCGTGGTAGAATTCTACATAAAATGTACCAGGAACTGGTCTATTCTTTTACATATATACAGGAAGTTTATGAGTTTAAAGTAAAGTAAATCATTCATGACAATCTGCATGCTTTTATTGCTAAAGTTTGAAAAAAAAACTACATAACTGTGTATACTAAATGGATATGATGTTATTTATTAGCCACCAATTTTTTATATTCTACCAATCTATCAATTTACCCAGTTAAATACACAATATAGTTTTTAAACAATTAAGATATAATGTATATGTATAACTGTGCAATATAATTTAAAACGCAATAATTTGAATGTTTGGTGCTCTTTTCTACATTTCCTACAATTGATAGAAAACAACTATTCAAACAATTTTCATTAAAAATTTTAACAACATATTTAAAGAAATATTCGTACACATGGTCTTTGTAAACATGGTCTTTGTTAGATTCAAGTTTATTTAAATCAAGGGATAGGGTGGGGCCAAAATGCTGTGGAGTGTTTTACATAGGAATATATAGGAAAAATCTTTAAAAATATATCTTCTCAAGTACCACTGATACAGTGTAGAAGACTCATGATGGAATCATCCAAAGGTATATTTCAGTGTACTTTGTTCATAAATATGAAGTCCCCAGGGGTATTTGAGGCCAAAATTTTCTTCTTCTTTGTTTGTATAAAATACAATGTGTAAAACAAGTCTTCTAACACAGCCATTAAAATATAAACATTGCAATATATAATATAAGATACAAAGAAATCCAAATGGAAAAAGTCAAAGACAGATATTTGATTTCAGTTACTGTTTTTCAGGATGAGTATGAATTTTGCTTCAAAGCCGTGTCTGATTTTCTGAATACTGAGAGTGTGTATGCCAACACATGACAGATTTATCCATGATGATATAGTGTATTTTGAAACAGTGATGCTGACAATTTTCCTAACCAGTATATGTATGATAGCACGGTCAATATTAGATGTAAATATTAATCAAAACTTTCAATGTAATGATAAATTAGTTTTTTATGCTTATGAAAATGTATTGTTTTTAAAACATGTGGTTTATGGAACGCAAATTTGAGCTTGACGCATTTTTTTTATATATATGTAAAACACTTTTATCCTGGCCCAAAGGCTCAGGTGAGCTCTTCTGAAAAAAATTCCGTCGTCCTGCATCATGTTACATGTTTTTGTCGTGTGTTAATATTCTTTTTAATTTATTTTCTTTAGAACAACGGGTTCAAAGTCAATAATTATTTTTTCTTGGCAAAGGGGATTCCATATTTGTTTTAATGAGGATCAACAAGGTTATTCAAGAATCAAAAATAAATAAACACCGACGGATGATTTTTTTTCTATATTTAAAATTTTTAACCCGACCCAAATGACCTGTTGAGCTTTTCCAAAAGAGAGAGAGAGAGAGAGAGAGAGAGAGAGGTTGACATCTCTCCTTCATTTTTTATCTTTCGTTCACATTTTTGGATATCTCTGGACAATTGGACTAAATTCAGCAAACTTAAATAAATCTAATACATGTACTTTGGCAAGTAAATGAAAGCAATCACATATATATGGCATAATTCATTGTAACAATGTATATAAGTTTTTAATAAACAGTCATCACATTAATAAAAATAGTTAATTTTATAGGTGTATTTATTGTTTATGAACAGTAGTCACTTTGGTTAGGCTAGAGCTAGGAATAAATAATTTTTTAACACATTGTGTGTACAAGAAAAAAAACCCTCCTGAACACCATATTCATGTAATCATATAAATCATAGAGAAACTTTATGATATGATTAATATGCAAGTTCATTTATGTTATATTTCCTTAGACTACAATAAAAGTTTAGATTGGCTTGTAAATGAATAGGAATAAAGTTTAAATCTTTCTGAGATCACATTATTGTAGTTACTTTATGACTATATGGTGAGCAATGTGGTCCATAGCCCTTTGTTCACATTTTTGAGCCTAATAATGTTTTTTTTAAATATTTATCTTAAATTAGCTTATCATCCCCTGAAAATAAATATATTCTTATCCACTTTTCTCCTGCAAGGCTGTTTACCAAAGAATAAAGTCATTGAATTTCGGTTTTGAAAATGAACAAATTATATTTACATGTATTCTTAATGTGTAACATTTATTGTTTTTTTTAATTACAATGATATCGAAAGCTTATACTGGGTCTGCAAAGAAGTTATCATTTTTATGATATTTTTCTTCAGTTTGTTGTCATCTTTTCTTTTATTTTCAGAACAATTAAGAGTAAAATGTATTTTCTTGTTCATTTTACTGTGATCAATATACATGTACATTAATTTTCATTAAATGTCTAAAGTGTTTCTTCTATTAAATTAACATACGAAAGAATGTCAAAATATCATTTAAGAATTTATCATGAGATTTCTTTTCAAAATGATGCTGCAGATGAACTCATTTTAGCAGATCTATACTTAAGATAATTTACTGCAAGCCATTGTCATTTAATTTATAAACCATAATTATATAAACTCTACCTTTTACAAAAATTTCACAGGGTCTACAAGTGGCGAACATTTGCCATATAATTTGAAACCTCTAAAGCCAGATTTTCTTCATACAACTGATTTGATTGTATATTGCATTTCAGAATAAGAAATAAACACAATCAAGTCTTAAAAAGGAAAAAAAGACTTCATTAAATATCAAAAAAATATCAATATTAGTTTATATTTATTAATTTTACGCCGCCTTTTAGAAATGTTGCTAGAAAATGATGGTTTGTAAAATACATGAAAAGTATTCAAAATTAAGCAATAAAATAATATGTTGAGAATAGGTGAAACTAATTAAAATTATGTTCATTGGTTATTTCTAACAATTAAAAAGATCTTGGTCGTGATCAATGAAGTGTCTAGTCCTAGGAGTTATCTCGCTTGCTATTTTTTTTTCTTTATTCACTTATTAAATGTAAAAAGAATTGTATACAGCTCAACAAACTTTTTAAGCTCACATGGTTTTTTGCACAAATTAAGGTCACATTGTTATAATGTAATATTGTGTATTGAGACATCACAATACATTTTAAAAGTATTTGTTTTACATTATTTGAGTTTTATTTTAATCACTAAAACATGATTCAAATAAATCAATTGGTAGAATTTTGATATATTCTTGGCTGAAAAATAACAACTATTTCCATTTGATTTTTTGTGGTTTCTTGCCAATTGCAGCTGTCTTTTTATCCATTCTTTTGAAAGCAGTGGCTCTTTGCAGAAACATAGACACAGGCACAGTACAGCTACTGTAACTTGTGTTTTCTGTACATTCTGACTCTTAAGCGCAAGATGATAATAATATTTTTTCATCAGTTTGACTGATTTGTATGTTAATAAGGTGGCATTTTTCAGAGTCACCTTCTAAAATCTAGAATCATGAAAGATTCATCCCACAGCAAAATTTTATCCTTTCAAACCGTAAATGCAGAAGAAGTTTCCTTTTCATAGAAAAAATTACTATTTGAAAAAATAAACAATACTTTATTATCCTACCCTGTAGTATGGTTTCTTTCTGCAATTTATCCCTTTTCGGTGCTCCATTTCGACAAAATCCAGATGAGTATGGTAAGTGAGCAAAGAATTTAAAAAAAAATACTCACCTTTAAGAAGAAAATGTAAAATTTTCAACCACATTGTATCAAAGAAAGCACGTTTTATATTATTTGTAAATATCCTATGGTAGAGGCCTATGGTAGAAACATCGTACCATTCATTAATAAATTCCCCTCTAAAACATCCACTTTGGAAACTTCAGATAATAAATTTAAAGGACATTTATACTTGACATTATATATGTAATATAACGTAGGGCCATGTCATCGTTCTCAGGTTCGAAAATAATATTTTTTATTACAAAAATGTGACCTTAATTTGTGCGAAAAACCATGTGAGCTTAAAACGTTTGTTGAGCTGTATATTCTTTATTGAAGAGTAAAATTTTCCAAGAAAAATCTTTCTGTTACTCATTAACTCAAAGATTTTCCTCTTTTGTATATGAATATTATCTGAAATAAAATTATAAACGTGCATTTATTACTTTTATCTAGTCAACGAGAGCAACCTTGAAAAAAATGTTTTGTCTAATTGATGTATAGAAGAGTTTGCAGAATTTACGGTTCATTGTTAAAGATAACTTTGATCCCACTTCTAATTATTACCGTCAATATGTTAAGACATCCCTGCTCAGTAAAGAAAAAGGGTTTGAGATATTCACTAATTACTGCCAGAATTGTAGGATATCCCTGCTCGATCATTACTGCCAGAATGTTGGGATATCCCAGCTCATTTCTGCCAGAGTTTGAGATCATACCTTTTCTTGACTGACATAGTATATATGGACGTTGCTATTAAAGCCTGCAAAGGTACAAGGATATGTCTGCTCTTTACTGTCAAAAAAACTTATTTCAGTCAAAGTCAGCAGAAATCTCTGTGCTATGCTGTCATTGTACATAAATCTTCTATGAGTGTGCATCTTACAAATAATTGTATTAGTTTAATGATTCCCCCTATTGAACAATCCCCGTTTGTATGAAAATTCCTGCTAATTACCGGCAGACTTTGCAGAAATCCCTGCTCATGATTTTAAAGAGTCTGTGCAGTGAAACCTATTATGAAAGTCAGATAAATTGGGCATCCGTCCTTAGTACTGCCAGAATGAACAGAGAAACTTTTTGTAATGCTTCTTGAGTAATATTGACAAGGTGAACCTCTTTGTATATTACTGTCAGGTTGTTTACTTTTCCCTGCGCAGTACCTCCAAATAATGTGAACATCCGTATCTGACTGTGCGACACTAGCAGTGATGTTTCATTACACATTTAGTTCCAAACTATATCATTTGAAATATTTATAGACAATATAGATTGGAGAATTTACCATTTTAAGAAAAATTTTGCAACCATGACATCAGAAAGTAATAACTCAACATTGTAAGTGTACCTTAAACTTTGTATTATTATTTGAGCTTTGTTTTAAATAGATTTCGAGAAATAACGAGTTTTGATCTGAGAATTCTTAACCCGGAGATAGAAAATATTCACGATTTGTATATTTAAATATTTTCTTAGGATACAGATAGATGACTCTATACTATCTTTTTTTCTTATTTCAACACCAATAATAGGGTAAACTAAAGGTTATCCGATGCTTAGGTTCTAAAAATCAGGCATTGAGTAACTGAAAATGCTCACAAAGACGTATCTAAACTCTCAAATTAAAATGTATTTACCCACGGTGTTTCTCTAAACTTTATCTTTCAATTTAATCATATTATATAGGGAAAATCAGTAAATCTCAAATAATATTTCAGGAAATGCGATTTGAACAACCTACTGCATATTTTTTTTTATTTGATAATTGATCAAGAAATACATTTTGGGAATAAAAATCATTGGTATGTAGGCTTTTTAAGACAATTGCATGAGTTTGACACTTATTTAGTACTTTACTTTCTCCTATTTACTTCCATTGTTTCATATTGCAAAGAAAACACCGTAAATCACTTCTTATTTCAAAGCATGCTTATAAACATTGGTAAGTAAGGCTAAATTAAAAGAAATTTGATTTTTTTTTTAAATATGCAAGGTTAACTTAATTTTATGAGGTACAAATGTCAAATTTTTTAATACTGTTTTTCAAACCTTTAATGAACATTGAATCATACATAGAGGCATAAAATGAAAATTGTTGCATGAAAAAATTTCAATTTTAAGCTTTATTTTAAGACTTTTTAAAGTAAATTATAAATTAAAGAGTTATCCTTCCTGGCTGAGGGTCGCATATCCTTAAGTACACACTCGGAATAAATTGTTCTATAATTAGTTTTTTTTAAATTTATAGTTATCATTTCTGATTTAATAAACATAATTGAGTCAAAAACATAGTTTGTTTTTTTTGTTGCAAACCTGTTAAAACATATGTAATATTTGCGAAATGTTATATTACTTTACACTGAATTGGATGAAGATGAGGAAATGAATTTGAAGTACATAGTTCTTAAAATAAAGGAGAAAAGCCAGGATGAACAGGAAACATAAGAAAGTAGGTTGTCAATTTGGAGGGAGGGGAATGTCTCTCATTGTTACCGTGAAGGATGAGTACTACAGTAAAGATTAGGACGGAAGTGAATGCTGGAGAACGGAAGTTTACTTGTTATTATCTAAATACCGATCACTGATATAGCACGTAGCACTTTAAAATAAGTAATTGTTTTTTAGTTCATCTAAGCTGAAGGCTCAAGTAAGCGTTTCTGATCGCGTCTGTCTTCCGTCCGTGTCTATTCGTCTATGAAGTTTTTACTTTTTCGACTTCTCTCAAAGTTTTAGGAAAAAATGACAAAAATGTTAAAGCTTTAAAGGGATCAGCGATCATGGCTTGTTATTCTCTTGGAGTTCTCACGATAAATCCAAGCTAGTTTATTTAATTTAAAACAAAGGTTGAAATTTACCACTTGTGTGACGTGCTTAAAAAAAAACAACAACCGTTTATCACGATTTTTTTATTATCTTGATAAAAACATTAGGGTTTCCCTAATGCCTAAAAGTGGTACTTAAATAAAGTATTCTGAATTAAATAAGGAATTTAACATTTCCTTGCTGTATTTAATAATTTTACACAGGATTCATGATTAACAGTAATTAAGAGTAATTAATTTAAAAAGTAGCTTATTAATTAGAGCCAGTGTTTCAAAGCAGAAAGTCATAAATGCTACATTGAGGAAGTTCTTATTTATTCAAGCATCATGAAGAAATTATATTACGAATCTTTGAATGATTCATCACAGAAAGACCTACATTTTAATGCAGCAAAGCATATTTGTTCTGTTTTAAGGAAGTTAATATTTCGTCCAACCTTATGCAGAAAAAAAACAGGCATCTCTGAATGATTCATCATAGACGCACATAGAAATAGAAGTGTTTCCGTCGTCTCAAAATCCATATGCCGACACGTGTCGTCTAGTGTTCACTAGCAGTAATTTTTTATATACATTTTGTATGTAAGCAAACAAAAGACGTGTGCCAAATTTTGGTACTATGCATTTGGGTACCGCCCATATGTCACGTGATGAGAATCAAATTCTTGTAAAATTTTTCTTCAATGATTGGAAGTTGGTGCCGGCTAAGGATAATTAAATGAAATATATTTTTTATGAACAGATTTTTTAAAAAAAATACTTTTTTTCTTTGAGATTTGATTGTGTATGTTATTGTGTTATTTCTTATCTAAATTATATTTTGTTGTTGGATGAGACCGTGTAAACCAAGGTCCCATGTCGCAGTAGCTTTTACCACAAAAAAGATCCCTTACTGCCCAATGGCCCTGAGTGCCGAGTATAACACAAAATTTGTAGCTATCCACCGGCAACTGGTAGTGTCTCCAAATGAGTGAAAAATCCCCGAGAAGGGACGTAAAACAACTAATATCAATCAGTCCTGTTGTTTGTCAAAGTTCAAAACAAGTAGTTTTGTTTTATTTAAACAAAAAAATGATACCATGACTAAAGAAGTGGGAAGTAATGGGTTAAAAGGTGCTTATCCCCCCTCCCCTCGGCTACACACATAATTCAGAATACCCTTTAATTTTAAGTTTATGAAGCAAAGAAGGGCTATACAATGTATAACTTTAACTTACACCAGTTTTCTATAAAACAAATCCATAGTTTTTTGTTCTATGCTTTTTTTTCGTTATAGATTTATCTAAATTATTATTCTGCAAAATTGCACCATTTCATATTTTCTCTTCAAGTGTCAGTCATATTAAATGAAAAAAAAATAAATTTCTAATCGTACTCATGTCATTGAAATTATATTTCTCTTAAAAATTCTATAATTGTTAACTTATCTTGTTTTTATATTTATGTTTTCCTGGAAAATAAACTTAATTATTAATCAGAAAATCAAGGACATAAATCGTACAATAGATCATTTAGTCGTAACAGAGTTTAAAGTGGCTATATATGTGTTGTAAATAGTGAGGCCACGCTCCTACTAGCACTAGGTAGTGGGTTAACCCTTTAGCTCAGTCGGTAGAGCGTTGGATTTTAAATCTAAGGGTTGTAGGTTCGAGCCACAGTGTGGACACCCCCAAGCTAATCGGTCATAGGACTTGAAACTTCAGCTTGAAATTGAGCCTACATGCATCTCCTCATTAAGGAAACTCAATAGAAATAGAAAACATTTAGTCCTAACTTTGAAAAGAAGAAGTGTGGTTTGATTTAAATATTTATTTCTAACATTTAGCATAAAGAAAGAAAGATAAAGAACGTTCTGCATCAAACAAAAAGATTAAAAGTTCACTCAGTTTCAAAAGATGATTGTGTCGTTACAGTGTAGCATTCTCACTGCCAACTTTCCAAATTATTTAAAGCGCATCTAATGAGGTTGGGGGAACATTTTTGATAGCATTGACGTCGGTGCTACTACGACCTACATCAATCAGAAATGCACGAAAAGTGATTGTTCTTTAGTTGTTTAAGGTCTCTCTCTCTCCAATTTTTCAATGATGTGGATCACAACCAAATTTCTCGGTGTATTTTGTCCTATATTTGGGCCATTGAGCAGAAAGGGGTCTTTTCGTGCCAGCAGCAAGTGCGACACGGAACCTATCGTCCGCAAGACCAGTCTCCACGTCCATCAGTGGGATTCGAGCCCGCGGCGTAAGGATCAACTCCTTACTTCGCGTCTCTAGAGCAGACTCCCTGACCAAGCAGCAAGTGCAACACGGAACCTATCATCCGAAGGACCATTCTCCACTTCCCACAGTTGGAATCGAATCCGCGACTTCAGGATCAATGCCTTACTTCGCGACTCTAGAGTAGACTCCCTACCCAGATAGCAAGCTTACGTTGGCCCAATGTTGGGCCACCGTTGTAAGTTACGTTGGTCCAATGTCGGAAAATGATATTGGGCCAATGTAATTTTGCTCATCGGCGCAACGTTGCGCCGACATGTTGGCGCAACGTTGGCCCAATGTCATAGAACGATAATTCTGACGTTGGTCCAACGTTGGGCCACTGTTGTCAGTTATGTTGGCCCAACGTCGGACCAACGTCAGAATTATCGTTCTATGACATTGGGCCAACGTTGCGCCGACATGTCGGCGCAACGTTGCGCCGATGAGCAAAATTACATTGGCCCAATATCATTTTCCGACATTGGACCAACGTCGGAAAATGTATATTGGGCCAATGTAATTTTGCTCATCGTTGCAACATTGCACTGACATGTTGGCGCTACGTTGTCCCAATGTTATACAATGATAATTCTGATGTTGGCCCAATGTAGGCCCAACGTATTTGTGCATCTCCATGTAGGCCTTACGTTGGCCCAATTTCAAACAATGATAATTCTTATGGTGGCCCAACATATCTGTGCACAAGGATATTTAGAAATCTATGGAATTCCATTGAAATCTAAGAAATTCCAGGAAGATACAATGAAAACTGAATTCAATTCAATTAATGTTCAATTTATCATAGATCAAATCTATATTTTCAAAATTAAAAAAAATTGTTTCTTTCACAATGTGTTTTCAAACAAATATTACATATACACTTATAGATGTACAATGTAAGCATATTTTTTTCTAAGTATTCTCACTGATCAACATTTCTTTGTAATAAAACAAACTATTTCTTTTTTTAAAATATGACATTTGACTTAATAACATTGGGAGAGGTCATTGAAACCTCAACGGGGTATACTGTTACAATGAACTTCCAGTTGCCCATGAACATTTACCGTACAAAGTTAATGACTAGACTAGAGTGACAAACACATGTATTAAGACAAAATATCCACTACAACTATATTAATAAAAAGATCCCATAAAATCAACACAGTCACGCTATTTTCCCCGAATATGCCAAAGATCCTAATTTATAAGTTAGATCCGAAATTTCTCAAGTGTCTGCTTGAATCACTTCCTCACTGATATCCCATGAAATTCACAAATGAATTCACTTTAGTTTAAGTAGGAAGGCTCAGAAAGTTCGATGTTGATTGTTCCCGTAGACACTTACTTTTCTGGCACAATTTCTGAAAGAAAAAATGACCATCAGGATGTATTATCATCGATTATCTATCGCATTTATATATTATAAACATATAAATATATAACAAATAATAAAGTAAGGCTCTACAAGAGTACAAGACTGTTATGACAATTGGTTATAATACTTCAACCTGACAGTTCAGTATACATTTAGTGTAGAATAGAAATTCACTATCTTGCAGTGTCTTTTTTTGGTTCTTAGGATTAATTTCGATAAATGTAAAAATTTGAGAAGTTTACAGATGACAGACGAAAACTAGACACTGATGAGAAAACTCGCTTTGTTTAACTTTGGACTTAAAATGGCTCAAGTGAGCTAAAGGAAAAGGTTAGGGCTAGAGCTAAAGCTCTATGCCTGACTTACATTGAATAAGATATAAGATACATGTATTTCAATTCATGTGATTTTATAGCTCTAATCAGAAAATTTAAGAAATCTTAGAATACCTTTGTGTTAATTTCCATACTGCATTTGTCCTTCTTGTGAGCATTCAGATTCCTGTAAATAATGCATGTATAATTGTGCATCATAGAATATGTCAAAATGATATAGCTATTCTTAATAATTTATGCATAAGTATTTAATATAAAATAATTAATATGCATAGCTGTGCTAATTTATAGCATGTTTAGATTACCTGTCAGAATCCATTGTTATGTATTTTTAGGATAAGGAAATTAAGAATATAAACCTCTTGTTTACTTGGTACATAGAAGTCTGCAATATTTTTATAGTTCTATGCTAAAAGATACAAGTTAATAAAAACAATATTAGGTTATTTGTGTTAAATGAAAATTTGAGCTGGTTCTCACCATTTATACAAGCTGACTATTCGCCGGCGCTATGGGAATCGTCTCAGGCACAGTCCACTGCATGCAACTATTAAATAATCAAAATAAGTGCTGAAAATGATCTTGAACATGCATTTAAAAATAAATATATTTTATTACATTGTAAAACATACTCTGTAAATGTTGACGAGAGGAACACTAAAATTCCTGAATCGATCCCAAACGAGGAAATTCGGGTTGAAATCCATCCTTATGAGAGATGTTTAGAAGTGCTAAATTATTATAATAAAATTGAAATAGCGCTTGCTAAAACGATTTCACTGCAAGGCGTTTTATGTGTAGTGTCCTGACTAAGGAACAGTAGCAAAAGCAATTATTCATTCAAGGACAAATGTTAAAATATTTTGTACATTGTACCTACCGCAGTACCGGGGCGTAAAATGTCTTCATCTCTGTCAAAACAGAAATTCCATCCAAAGCTAGTAATGATTCTCCTTTTCGCGACACTCTCTTCCGAACTTTCCTTCTGTACAACATCAACATGGCCGCGTGTAACCCACCAAAAATTTAAATTTCGGCGCGGTGTGTTGTTTAAATTAATTGCTTATCGAGCCCGACTCCGAGCCCGACGTAATTGTACTATTAGTCGACAGTTTTAGAGAAAAATCTAAGTTATATTCCATAGTTTTGAAAATCTACGTAAAGGTTAAATAACTAGAAATGAATAAATAAACAAAGAAATAAGAAATAAAATAAATAAATATTTTTTTAAACGTTTCAACATAAGTTTACATAGCAACATTGGTTCAACAATGTCGGCCCAACATTACAAAGATGTCCATACTTCAACATTAAAAATAACAATGTTCAGGCACGTAGCAACGGGGGGGGGCTGGGTCTATAGTGAAATCAAGGAAAAATAGCAAAACAATTGGAAGTGAAAGGAAGTTGGCCTTGAAAAAAGTTGGCCACCACCACCCCCATCCTTTTGCTTGTCAACTTTTTCAGGTAAGTAAAAAAAATTCTATGGTTACCCCCCACCCCCCACTTTTGAGAACGATGCTACGTGCCTGATGTTGGCCCGACGTTGGAACAATGTCAGAGCACCAACTGTTGTAATTACGATGTCGGACCGATGTTGGTACAATGTCAATGCACCAACTGTTGTAATTACAATGTCGGACCGATGTTGGAACAATGTCAATACCCCGACTGTTGTAATGACAATGTCGGACCGATATTGGCCCAATATCGTTCTGCCAACCGCGATATGTAGCCGATCTACCAACCACATGCCAACATCGGCCCAACGTCAGCTTGCTATCTGGGTAATCACTGCGAATGCCTGTCATCCGAAGGACAAGTCTCCACATTCCAACCCGCGACGTAAGGATCAACTCCTTACTTCGCGACTCTATAGCAGACTCCCTAACCACTGCCAGTGCTTGGAAAATGCTTCAAATGTACATATATACATGTATACCATTACACTAGCTTACTGCTGGATCTGACTTACATTTTCCGGATAAATAGATTAGTCCATACCTGAGTAACTACATACCCTATCAGATCAAAATTGTATAAAGGCTGTATCTTGAAGTGTACACTATTACAGTGTATCTCACATTTGTTTCTTTTTATTTGGGGCGGTGGGGGGGGGGGGGGTTAATTTGATGCTTTTTGTTTTTGTCTTTTTGTCTTTTGGGGGGGGGGGGAATTTAGTAAGTTATTTTCTACAGTTAAGAAGAAAAAATAAAATTTTAAAAAATGGTATGTTTTTATCACAGACGATATCTGAGATAATTTTTGTTTGTTTTATATTTTGGGGAAATATAAATAATTGCCAAAATGCAAATAAAATCATCACAAAAAACACGGAACAACGGTAGATACATGTGATAAAGGACGTTCCTTATCTTAAAACAAGATTGTTGAGACATGCTCTATATTCTCTGATAACATATGTGTATTGAATCATAGTCCAACCGGATGTTTTTAGACAAAAAAAAAGAATCAGCATGCAATCTATTATATTGCATAATTGCATTATTCCTTCTTTCCATTTTAAATTTCTGTCATTTTATTTAAAAAAAAATTAACCGTGCTCATGTCAAGGAAATTTTAATTAAAAAAAAAGCTATAACTATTAACTTATCTCTTGTTTCTATTTCTGTCGTTCTGGGAAATAATTTCTTTATCAAAAATCAGTCCTGAAAAAATAAAATAAAAATTATTTATACTTTTTAAAATATTGAATTATATACAAAGTGCAGTTATGGTGGTCGCTGCACCTAAATAACGTCATATGATTGATGAAAGCCGTCATACACTTTTGAAAACGCTTCCCCTTATGCTACGTTTACACTATGTTCCCGACAGCCACGGCAGCCCCGTTTGCCCGAAACGTAGTGCGCCGTGAGATTTTGGTTATTTTCCCCTCTATATCCAAGTCTTGACAAGTTCTTTTGCGGTCTTCTACGGAATCCGTGATGGACCGTAGGAAGAAGTTGCCGTGGAGTGCCGGAGGCTCTACGGCGCACTACGGTTCTGCCACGTATGCCAGCACGTTCCCCCCAGGCCTCTTACGTTCTGATAGGTCCCCTCTCGTTTCTCGCGTTCTTATGAAGTTCTTATACGTTTCTCAAGTTCTGTCAAGTCTTTCTACGTATGAAACATGGACGCCGGGAAACTATGGATCACGTTTGTACCAGAGAAGGTCTCCTAACCAGAAACAATCATTGTATCATGACCCTTCGAAGATAAAACATCATGAATTCCCAAGATGAAGATTTTATTTTCGCGTGTTTGCTGGGTGCACACCTAAAATCACTTCGTCAAAATGAAGAGAACCAGCCGCAGTTACAGAGAGGGAAGGCAGGAGTGCAGCAACTAGGAATGAGACGAATAAGATGGATGATAAGGCGGAGATCCATATGGATCTATAATGAAACTTCTCTGCAGTGCCCGGCTTTTATATGCTTCCTCTCAGACCGCGTGCGCCGTGTCAGACCGTAGTAGAACGCAACGCAATGGGACGATAAACCGTAACATGCCGGGACGAACCGCGATTGAACGCGAGGAAACGGCTACCATACACCCTAGTTTGCCGTGAGGACCGTGATGAAACGTGGCAGAACGTGATAAAACGGACAACAACCGTGAACTTGCCGTGACAGAACGCGGACTAAACTCAGCAAAACGTCTCAAAACGTGAATGGACCGTGAGATGAATGGAAATATACATTCTCCCGTCCCACTGCGGACTGCCTCCAAGTTCTGTTACGGTCTATTACTTGCTGTCGCGTTTTGTTGCGTTTATTCCGTTTTACTACGACCTACTAAGTTTCACATCTGCAACGTGGCCGCCGTGGCAAATTTTTTGACAGTTTAAAAATCTGGCACGGCATCCACGGCAATTGCGATGAGTTACGTTTGCCCATCCCGTTGCCCCAAGTTTTCTCACGCCCGTCCCGTTTTTGCCACGGTGGCCTGAAACGTGATTGCCGTGGCTGCCGGGAACATAGTGTAAACGTAGCATTAGTTTTATTAAATTTTTTTTTGAGATTCACGAACACATTCACTTATATTTCTCTTTTAAAAAGATTTATTGGCACCCATCGCATGTACACTTTCTCTATATAAAATTTAGTTCCCTCTCAAAATTCTTTGAACAGTACCATAAGATCAACATTTAAGTTTCACATGTCGCTCTAACCGTCTAACCGCCTCTCATTTTGGACAACGTCAGACACCATTGAACGTTTCCGCCCGACCTCCAATCTTTCGCTCTTTCTGTCCTCTAGCAGCTGATAACTCAATGACCCATGACCCGCTTAAAATTACTGAGACCATCTATAATCAAGTCTCTTACTTACATTCCCCCCGCTTTTTGTCTGATTTATCATCGACACTGTTTCTACGGGCGATGTTTCCATTTTGAAGCAAAAGTGAAAAACGCATTGCAGACCGTTTTAGCGGTTTTCTCCATTTCCTTTGTTCAGTACCGCAGATGAAAACAACAATGTTGATGATCATAAAACAATAATGTCATTTTATTTTCAATTTAAGACTAGTAAACGTCGTTAAAATTTGTCTTTTAAAACATTGGGCTATTAAACGCTTTATTATATGCTTTTTAATGTGTTTGTCTTTTTTTTATTTTAGCAATTTACATTCTAAAACTTGACGTTTAGTTGTGACGCGGCGGCACCCTTAATGTTTGGTATTTTAAACGTCTATAAAATTAATTTGAGTAAACATTAGTAAATGAAATTTTCAAATTTGATTAGATTTATTTCTATGCATCTTTTGGTATATTATATTTTACAATATGACGCCAAATATTAAAGATATTGACACAGTGACATTACTTTTGGATCAACCCTCGTAAGTCGAACAATCGATCATTAGGTACTTGAAACCTAAACTTGAGCTTGCATTGAGCATGCATGTATCTCCTTAACATTTAGATAACATCAATTGAAAGCAATTAATTCAAATTATGAAATTAATGTATAAGGGTTGATTTAAATATATATTTAAAAAGTTTTTTATGAAGCAAAGAGAGAAAATAACGTAAAGCACCTAACTGATAGTAAAATAGGTAATCAGATTTCAAAAGGTCCAAAGAAATGAACATGAACAATTTAGCTTTCTCACTGTTATCCAGGCAAGTAGCGTCGTATTTTGAAAGTGGGGGGAGGGGGGGCGGCAATAAGAGATAAGAGATTTTATTTTTTACTAACCTGTTAAGGTTGACAAAAAAACCCCTCAAAACTGCTATTTCTTCGGGAGGGGGGGGGGTACTGGTCAACTTCATTCTCACTTTTAATTTTTGGTATACAATACTAAATTTCCTTATATCACTATAATGTGGTAAGAAAGTAAGAAGTAGGGGCAAACCCACCTTTCAATGGACATTTTCAATAGTAAAGGCAATGTTGGGAAAAAAGGGGGGGAGCCCCCCTCTGTTGCTACGTTTAAAGAGAGTCCACATAACTCATGTTAGGGGAGATTGTGTGATACCATTGGTGTTGGTATCTTTGACAACATCGGCATGCAAGATTGTTTAAAAACTTCTACGTGTTTGTCGTTTTCAAATTAGAATTGCAAGATGGAAGAGTTAAGCGATGTGTTCATTTTACAAGTACCAGTCAAGGTATCATATGCTGCTGCAATTTAATCTTAGGAATGACATTTAGAGAGCAGGTCTTATTTCCAAGAAATTATAAGCCCTACGTTGACCTACATGTACCATGCATGGATGATACGCCTAAGGATGGTGACTAACACTACAAAGCTTACTTTGAATGATTGATTTGACCTTTATATTCAGAGTCAGTGACCATTGGATTAGCCCGTTCCCGAGTAAATCCATGTCAGATAATTGATGCATCTTCGTGTGCACATTTATATCATATATATTTAGTTTTATGGGTGTTGGGGATTAAGCAAAAAAGCGTATTTGATCAGTTTGGAATTGCGTGAATTATTTTTCGATGAAAAAACATCAGAAGTGGTAATATTTTCTATAACACACTGCATGTTTTATTATTCTTCTTTCTTAAAATGATCGCAAAAAATGCAAAAATACATCATCAAAAAAAAAAAAAAATTAAGAAAAGATATATAAAGGGTATATTATTTGTATGATAAGCATGAATTACATACAAGTAGATATATAATTAAGATCTTTACATTTTTTAAGAAGCAACATTATTGGTTTTGATTATGTTTCCTCCTTAACTCTATTTCAAGGGACGTGTAAAGTATTACCAGGCACAATAAAATAACACGTCACAAATTCCCTACGTGTCTTAAGTTATAAATAACAAAAGACAAAGTAAAAAATGAAATCTACCTGGTGCAAGTTTTCTTTAAGACATATTTTTGTGGACAAGGTAGATATAATTATTAGATGTACATCTTATTTATAATGCTTATCACTGGAGTCAGTAACCAGTATTAGCAATGGGGAAGTATATACTTCTGTAAAATAAGATGAATCATCCCCAGACTAAGTACATTCACGTTAAATGGTTTTCCCGTCCTTTAATTGTTTACGCTTAAAAGGAATGTCTACAGTGATGTTTAAATCCTATGTTTACCTTTTTAAGTAGGTCACTTGATAGTCGGGTGTTGCTAAAACGCGGAACGGAAAACGGAACGGAAAGCGGAACGGAACGGAAAACGGAAAATTTTTGTCAAACAAATAACATAGATTCGATATAAATCACATAAAAAAGCAATTTTCTTGTTGTAAAAATCATTTCAGATAAAAATTTATTGTAAACTATTATATATTCATGAGTCATACACAACTTCCGTGGAAAAAATGGTACTGAAAGAAATTCGACCCCCCCTCCCCCCCCCCCCACACACACACGAAATAGGATTTTCGTGTTTGGGCAAAGGACATATCCCCCTTTTTTTTTGGTTTGTCAAATTTGTTGTATGTTGGAAAATTTTTACTGACCCCCCCCCCCCTTCTTTCAATTTGTTTCCAATGTTAATGTCTGTAAAGAAAAAAATAACTATTTATGATAATTCAGATTATGCACGCGCAGTGTCGAATTCGCGAATCATGAAAGGGGGAGTGGCAGTTTCGGGTCTATGTAGGGGCCTACAGTCACATTAAAAAATTGATTTATTAAACTTTATGTATATTTTTGACACAAAAAGGGGGGCATACCTATTACAACTTCTCAGACCTTTCCAATGAGTGGGAAAACAAACTCATTTTTTACGGGGTCATTCATATACCCCCCCCCCCCCCCCCCCAACATACACACATATGTACCGCAAACAAAATTTAACTTCATTGAATGACATGAAAGTTTTTCAACTTTGTCTTTCCAGAATTTAAATATATAGAAAATGTCTCTATTTTGAATAAAATTTTAACAACCAATGTGTATAAGAGATGTTTCTTCGAGCTTGCCGTAAGGTTTGCCCTTAACGTATTATCTTAATAATTTTTTTTACATTTTATTTCTCTTTCATGGTTCATTTAGATATCAAATATTTGATCCCCCAGTCATAACCTTTTTACTACGGAAATGTTCGTTTAAGTTGACATCCTCACACTTTTTGTGAATGTAATTAATGTAGTAAGTTAGTGTAAAAAAAAATAGTACTGAAAGATGTTGGAATTGGAACCTATCCCCCCTCCCGAATCAAACAATTGTTTTCTTTTTGTGTTTTATCCCCCCCCCCTCCCGAATCAAACAATTGTTTCTTTTTGTGTTATTGCTTGTCAAATACTTTTCAAGTTCGTTTATCCCCCCTTTTCAAATTCGTTTCTAGGTGACTGCTATATGTTAGCGATTTTCGTAAAAAACAGACTGAGCATGATAAAATCAACTTGTATCTAATAGTGGGGGATTGAATATGTACAAAATATATCGTTTATGATAAATTTTGTGTATTTTAAGTGATTTAATCCAAAATAATATATTCCGTTTTCCGTTCCGTTCCGCTTTCCGTTCCGTTTTCCATTCCGCGTTTTAGCAACACCCCTTGATAGTCAGCCTTTTAAATCATCGTTGAGTCTTTTCTGGTCGAATGATTTTGACAAGGATTGTTTTTATTTTACTTCCTCTTTTAAAATGGCTGTCCTGTGGTGGACGTGTCTTATCTCAATACTAGGATTTATTCACTGTTATGGTATGTAACTGAGATTTGATGAAGACCTTCCTGCATTTTGATATTTTTAGGATCACTGTTTCTCCTCAGAGGGCTTACTAATCTTTTTTTTAGTCATAAGCATAAAAAAATTGTTGTTCCATTATATCCATTACAGGTATAATTAAAAGAAGTATTATGTAGGGTTTGAACAGTTCAGGAAAGCGATGTAACCGCGTTTCTTTACGAAAAGAGACAAACACTTTTCTCAATGTATATAATTTGACAGGTGTTTGCAACTGAAGGTCATACTGGACTGTAGAGCTACATCAAAATTTCTTTTAAAGTATTTTTTAATGACTTTTTAGGTCACCTGAGTAAACTCAGGTGACCTATTGCTATCCGTTTTTGTCCGTCGTCGTCCGTCGTCCGTCCTGCGTCGTGCGTTAACATTTAAACATTTTCAGCTTCTTCTCTGAAACCGCTGAAGCAATTTCAACCAATTTTGGCATATAGCATCTATGGGTGAAGGGGAACAAAAATTGTGAATTTCATGGTCCCTGCCCCCCTGGGGCCTGGGGGTGGGGGCAAAAACCACTAAAATTAGTGCATTCTTGAAATCTTCTTTAAATCTTCTTCTTTACTCCTAGACTTCAAGCAGTCAAACTGTTTGTATGATATGTAATCAGCATTGTGTCCTCTACCAAAATTGTGAAATTCATGGCCCCAGGGTCAGGGGTTCTGGTGTTAGGGCGGGGCTCTATTGATTATATAGTGAAAATGCATTAAATCTTTTAAAATCTTCTTCTCTGTTCCTGAGTATTAAATAAACTAACTAAGTACATAGTTAAGATGAGCAAGAGTGTCTCTACCAAAATTGTGAAATTCATGGCCCAATGGTCAGGGGTTCTAGTGTTAGGGCGGGGCTCTATTGATTATATAGTGAAAATACATTAAATCTTCGAAAATCTTCTTCTCTGTTCCTGAGTATCAAATAAACTAACTAAGTACATAGTTAAGATGAGCAAGAGTGTCTCTACAAAAATTGTGAAATTCATGGCCCCAGGGTCAGGGGTTCTGGTGTTAGGGCATGGCTCTATTGAATATAGTGAAAATGCATTTAATTTTTGAAAATCTTCTTCTCTGCTTCTGAGTATTAAATTAAACTAATTAAGGACATAGTTATGATGAGCAAGAATGTTTCTACCATAATTATGAAGTTTATGTCCCCATGGGTCAGGGGTTCTGGTGTTAGGGTGTGGCTCTATAGTGATTATTAGTGAAAATACATTACATCTATTAAAATCTTTTTCTCCACTTCTGAGTAATAAGCAGATGAACTATTTATATAGTTATGATCGGCTCCTCTTCCAGAATTGTGAATTTTAAGGCCCCTGTGTCAGGGATACCATATATGTCGGGGGGGGGGGGGCTCTACTTATATACTGAAAATGAATTGTTTGAAATTGCTCCTTGGTATTAATCAAGTAATTTTGATAAGCAAGTGTGCCTTTCCAAAAATTGTGCAACCTAGGTTCAGGAGTTCATGTGCAGGAGCACTCCTGATTATTGCGTGGACCATGAGGTCCACGCAGTAAATATATAAGCGAAGCTAAACAGGATGCCCTGGGCATACGCCACCTACGCATGCGCGAGAATTCTAGAGAGTTTCAATCCGCAATCTTCAGCTGACTCCGCTTCACCAATTGCAACTTCTCGGGCCTTTTCGACTAGCTTTCCGGCATTTGACAGAAAGACCCGAGATGATGCGATATTGAGAGTTCATTGCCGGATCCAAATTTTAATCTTGTACACATACTTTTAAACACGAACTAAACATTGAATCTATGGCACAAGCATTTTAAAAAGATGAAGAACTTACATTTAGCTAGTCGTTGAATCTTTTAAAAACCTAGAACTAGTCGTTGAATGAAGTTTTTACTTCGGATTGATCTCGGTAGTTTACGGAATAAAATGCTCTTTCAGTTCGAGTCAATATCAAAGGCCACAATTCTAATATTTTTATTTCAATTGATAGATAATTAAAGAAAACAACAAAATGATGACAAATTTGTTGTTTAAATACGTTTGAATGTACATCTTTTAAAATAAAACGATGTCTCCGAGACTATAAAATTCAAGATGGCGGCGCCCATGAAAAGTCGGACTGGGAAGGAACGGTTAAAGAAAAGACACAAGTAGAGCTTTTTAAAAAAGCTTACCGTCTTTAGCAACAACCTTAAACAATAAACTAATCTACATCTTTCAAGTTGTATAATTCTTTTGAATTTCTTGTTTTTATATTTCTACATTAAATTTTTACTGGAATTAGCCCTACCGCGGTTGTCGCTCGGTCATCTCCGTAAACTGACCCAGACCTTCAGCAAACACGGCCGATTCCGTTAGATGTTATACCTTCTTCAAACAAATAAGAGGAAAAGAATAAATGCAAATTGTAAAGCCAGCAAGCAATAAAAATCAAATCTTATTTGCAACTTGATGAAAATAAAGAGACCTGTGTAGTTATTGCTACTAAAAATGTTGTTATTTAGAATTAATTTTTGCTGATTTTGTTGTTCGTTTTGTCATTTTTTTAAGATTGGAAATATTGAATAATTGTTAAGTCGTACGAAAATAAGACCATCAGAAAGTTATCTCCCTTGCCCTGAACAGCATTTCAACCAATGAAATAATTGAAAGTTTTCTCATCATGCAATTTCTACCAATCACAGAAGAGAGGAAGTGCATAGTCCGAAGACTGTAAAAAAACTTCAACAATAATTTGACGCGCGCCGAGGTGCTTTAGGAGATCGTACTTGTGAAATAAACTTATTTGTGATTCCATGCATATTTGTGAGGAATGCTGAACATTATGGTATAACCCTAATTTTAACCAGTAAGAGACTAAGGGTTCGTAAGATGACTCTGAGGGTCATCGAGTTTGATGTTCATTGCCTCAGATTGCGTTCAAATTGTCACTTCGGACCATTATTCTTTTCCAAGAGAGCAATTAAATGTGAGTGAAACTCTGGTTAGGTGGTTTTTGTACATACAGTGCGGAAATTGCTTGCTGTTGGCATCGGTGTTCCCAAAAGCTGAGAAAATCCAAAGGGATGCAGAACTTCAGTGTCAATACTCAATACACAGATTGTAACAGGTAAGCATTTATATCTATATATATTTTGTTTATGGAATTTATGCTATCTAATCTAGGCATTGACAACTAGTAAACAGGTCCAGTCCAAAGACTATTTTTACCTACGTAGCTATTAATAGCTACCTAGGTATTTAAAGCTACATGTACCCAAAGTAGCTATTTTTACCTTCTTTCTGCTATACTTGCATTTTGTGGCAAAATGCAGGAACGGCGCAACATTGTGAGCACAAAATGTCTTGACACTGTCACACTGATGATGAATATGACAAAAATTTGGCCAAAAAATGATTTTTTTCGTAATTATCAATTTTGCATAGAAACTAATGTAAAATTGCCGATTCAGGAAGTAATCATTTTTTGACCAAAATTTTGTCGTATTCATCATTAGTGTGACCGTATCAAAAAATATGGTATTCACCATGTTGCGCCGTTTGGTCTAATGGTCGCAAAATGCAGAAATTATATAAAGTAGGTAAAAATAGCTACTTTTGGTATAGCTTTAAATACCTAGGTAACTATTAATAGCTACGTAGGTAGAAATAGTCTTTGGACTGGACCTGGTAAAAAATAATGTTTTACGGTGTGACCGTTGGGGCGAGCGCAGTTGTACCATCCAAAACACTCTAAAAATTAATCAGCCACTTCAAACATCAAGACGCACGAGACATCTCTACTAGCTGTGACGTCACCTGACGTCATGGAGCTCATCGGAGCTTATGGAGATAGCCGAGCGTCTGGTTGAAACTAAAGATCTACTGCAATTTTGGTCGAAAGACATTGCAGAGTTATCTTTTGTTTCTTTTAAAGATTTCTATAAACTGAAAGCCTTTAATTCCTTACGTTATTTATTTATTTATTGATTTATTCGCGCAAAGGACATTGGGTAGTGCAGGAATTCTGGGAATGTTTTACAGAAAAATTGGGTCGACGTATGTACAAATTTCAATCCGAATTTCCTCTGCTCTTACATGTTAGTCTATTGAGCTCGCTTTGGGAGCGTGGCTTTGCATTGAAAACTAGTATAAAACATTGGAGCTTAATTCCTCATCTAAATTTTCACCTGAAACCATGAAATTTTGGATAAGGCATATAATTTTTAAAAAGGATTTACATGATCATGCATCTAATTAATCACATGTAATATAATTGTATCTATCCTTTTTGTAGCTATAATCTACAGCTTTTTGTGGGAGACCCTCATTGTGTCGTCAACATTAAATCTACAATTAAAATACTTAAAAGGATTTTGAAGGTATGAACAGTTTTATTATATCATTTAGTAGATACATATATTTTAAATTTGGTGGCTCTAAAATCAAATGTTTATTTGTCTATTTGCTCAAAAATCTGTGTAAGAAAAATATTTGACTACATGCAATAGACTACCCCGGGTATATGTTATCATGTTGGACGGAATAATCTCTGCTGCAAACTTTTAATGAATCACATGTACATTATCAATCTGTATGAAACAATCATTTGTAGTACAAAAATATTTCTCATTTTCAACAGGTGTTCAATGCTGAAAAATCAAAGAACTACGGGTATTTGTGTGTGCTGATTGGTAAAGTTTCATGAAGAGGAGTCTGGCAGAGACGATGGCACTTTCTCATCTTAGCTGATCTATAGCTTTGTCAGAAAAGATGAAAATTGATTAATTTATGTTTTCTCCCAAAACCAGTGATGGCAAACCTAGAGTGACTGGAGCATCTAAAGTTCTACAAAATATTGTCCCAAAGCTGTGTGAATTTTTTGCTGCCACATAAATTTATCAATTGTATCTAAAACAAGTTGGTCTGTATTATGGATCCTCTACTAAGTGTAACACATACCTTATGAGATTACTGTCGGAGTCCTTATAGTATCTACATTTATATCACAAGTA